CACACACACACACACACACACGACAACACACACACACACACACACACACACACACACACACACACACACACACACACACACACACACACACACACACGACAGCGGCTGCATGGCTGCGTTACAGGTGATAGACAATGTTACATTCATGGCACCACTGACCTGGCATCACTGACATGGCATGCGACGCTATACAATCTGTAATACGACGCTATCAATATCAATTATAGACAATGTTTCATTCATGACACACGGAAGCGGCTGCATGGTACAATGATACATCCATGGCATCAGTGACTCCTACTGCGACGCTGACCCTAATCCTACCCCTAACCTTAAACGTAACCCTAACCATAACCCTAAACCTAAACAAAAGCCTAATCCCAGCCGCCTTTCTGACGCTAAACACAACGTTAACCTTTACACTAACCCTAACCATTACTTTATTCCTAATCCTAATATTTACCCTAACCTTAACCCTAGCCCTAACCATAACCCTAACACTTACACTAACCCTAACCTTAACTCTTACCTGAACCCTAACCCTAACCATACTCCAACACTAACCCTAACCATGACTTTAACCCTAATCATAACCCTAACACTAACATTGACCGTGACCCCGACACTCACACGCTGAGGGAGCCTAACTGACGGATGGCGTTGCTCAGACTGCTGTTGTTCACATATAGCAGCTCATCGTCTTTAATCTCTCCGGGAAGATCTATTCGGCTCAAGCACTGTGGCACCACCTGCCGTTGAACGACCGGCATCGCTGGCGAGTAGCTGCAAACGAGCGTCCAAGCTGTTAGTTATTGCAGTTGGTAAGGGAGTGTGTTCCCTTACACTTATACTCCTAACTCTAACAACAATATAACAGTGCGTACCGTAGCATTTATACCTTAATCCTTAATCCTTATACCCCTAATCATTATTCCTTAATCCTTAATCCTAACACTAACGAGCTATAACCTTTTACGCATTTACACACACGCACGCGCGTGTACGCGCACACGCGCGCGTGCACGCACCGGGCACAGGGGTTCTGTCTTCTGTATACAGGTAAAGTTCAATACATTCTTTTCTTTAATTTAAAATTCTAAATGAAGGTTTTCGTTAGTGAGAATTCTAGCTGTGAGTTAAACAAGATGGTATACTGTAGGTGTTAATGTTATCCGCTTACCTCCACACGGCAGTTGAATGTGTTGTCGCGGTCAGCTCCCAGCTGCATTAGTCGATGTTACATCCTATGTGCGTGAATGTACCTCGACATTTCCTGCCCCTATATCCTGCTCGTATCCTATACGTGTGCAGCACAGTTGTGTTGCTTAACTGTAGAGGCAATGTTAGTGTCGCAAGATGCAACATCCTATATAATTTTATACTTATGTGTGTGTGAATTGAGTGCTGTTTACTGATCGTTCTGTAGGAATTGGTAGATGTAACTCGCATCTGGCCGTAACGATAGTGTTATAGAAATCAGTTGGAAAAATAAATTGATACTATAAGCTCTTAAAAACGCATACTTTACGATGAGTTTTATTACCGACGTATTTATAATAACACGTTTTCCGGCTTAATAGTTCCTAGTATATACAATGCAATGTTACGCGTCTAATTCTCATGGTTCCATCGTCTCTTCAACGTCACACCAGACGAGTTGATAACACGGAATACTGGATGGTAATGCTGAATAGTTTGGGCGCATTCGTTTACAAAAGAATATAACGGTTATTTAAAAAATACCCCTCTTTGGGCAATATATGCTTTTCTTTCCATTGCTGTCTGATAATTATCATAAATATCTACTACGAATAAAAAACCATTTAAATTTGTTGAGATACAATAGATTTTTTTATCACAATTGTAAAAAATCACACATCTATTTAATTGGTCATGTGTACGAGATATTACGTCGCCGCCACCTTTTAAGGAAGGCACCGATGAAAAAGGATAATAGAAAAACTGGTACTAATCCTAATAGCATCATCCACGCCAACACGTCGGAATCTCGCTCTACTCGCTCATCCACATCATTGTCTTTATTGTAATCATGCAGCAGTAGGAACTCGTCTGCATGAAGCGAAGACGCGTCTACAGAGGGCGCTTCGTGTCCGGGATACCGTCAGAAACTCGTAACGGCGCTCGGATCCGGTTCCGGCACCGTATGTACGTCATACATAATATTATGTACGTCGCCATCGCCGACACTGTCGCGCGTGTCGGCGCGCGTCTTCTTACTGCTGTTGTTTTTCGCCCGACAGTAACAGACCATGCAGACGAGGAACACGATCAGCGTGTATAGCGCGACGGTCGTCACTATATAGACAGCCAGCTGGTCACCTGCGAACGTCAGCGCGGGGGTGGACAACGTCCGTACGTTCACGCACTCGCTCTCCAGCAGCGAGTCGTCGTCGTCGTCAGCGCCGTACTGGTCAGTGAAGGCGTGTATGCAGAGCAGGTAGCCGGTGGACGGCAGTAGTCCGGCGAACGTGTTCGTTTCTTGCTTCTCTAACGCCGACTCAAGCTCGACGCGCTGCTCCTGAAGATACGTAAGGCCGGAGTCTAGCTCGCCGGCTGCTGCGACGAAGTACTGCTGCAGATGCCAGTCCTCTATTGGCCGCGTCGCATCGCTGGGTGCTGGTATGTAAGTCCACGTAACATCGGCGAGTGTGTCCATGACGGCGGTCACTTGCATCTGTATGTGACCCGTCGCACATCTGCCCTGAACGTCGGCTGGGACGTACGGTTTTGCGCAGGTGAGGTTGGTCGCCTGCAGCTCGTACAGGAGCCTTCCCTGCATGCTGGCCGGAGAACTGCACTCACCTCGCAAGTTGTCCGTAGGTAGCAGGTGCGTTAGGTGGCAGTCGCAGGCGAGGGGGTTACCTGGTCACGAAATATACACCCGATTATTTCTACAAACGGCAGCAATCGGACAAAGGAATTGGCTTTACTTAAGTTTTATAAGTAAGTTATATCTGAACAGAGAAGAAACCGCCATACCTATAAGGTGCGGCGCGTGTGTGCATGCGCACGCGTGTTGTGTGTGTGTGTGTGTGTGTGTGTGTGTGTGTGTGTGTGTGTGTGTGTGTGTGTGTGTGCGTGCGTGCGTGCGTGCGTGCGTGCGTGTGTGTGTTAGTATTTTATTTTATATAGTACGAGCTACGTATTACACACCTGAAATCGTTGAATATTCTAAGGTTGGGCGGAGCGTCGCAAATGTCGTACTGTGCTGTCACGCAGGGCGTCATGTTGCTATGGACAACGACCTGCTGCTCGTTCTCCACCGTGCTCCTGTAAGGATGCATTCCTGCGAGGTCCTCTAACGAATCTATACACACAACAGAGTCACACGTCAATCGAAGGAGCCTTCTAGACAGGAGGCGTTTGTCCGTGACTTCAAAGGAGAAGCGGTCAGCTAGGATTTAGCTATTAAACGCATGGCACGCCCGCCCGCCCGCACGCACGCACGGATGAACGCACGCACGCACGCACGGACGCACGCACGCAAACGCGCGCGCATATACAAACAGACGGAAGACAGGTAGACAGACAGGCAGGCAGGCAGGCAGGCAAACAGGGAAGCGGCTGCATGAGTTACAATGATACATCCGATGGCATACAGTGCATCCTACTGCCGACGCTGACCCCTAATCCTACCCCTAACCTTAAACGTAACCCTAATCCTAACGCCCTTAAACTAAAAAAAAGCCTAATCCCAGCGCCTTTCTGTGACCTAACCACAGCGTTAACTGTTTACCATAAACACTAGCCATTACATTTTATTTTCTAAATCCTAATATTTACCCTACCTTAACCCTAGCCCAACATAACCTAACAACTTACCTACCCTAACCTTAACTCTTACCTGAAACCCTAACCCTAACCATACTCAACAACATAACCGCTACCTTGACTTTAACCCTAATCTAACACCTACACTACATTGCCGTGACCCCGCACTCACACGCCTGAAGGGAGGCTAAGACTGACGGATGGCGTTGTCAGACTGCTTTGTTCGTTCACTATAGCAGGTCATCGTCTTTAATCTCTCCGGGAGAATCTATTCGGGCTCAAGCACTGCTAGGCACCACTGCCGATCTTGAACGGACCGGCATCCGCTTTGTGCGAGTAGCTTGCAAACGAGGTCCAAGCTAGTTTAGTTTTGCAGTTTTAGGTAAGGGAGTTGTGTTCCCTTACAACTGTATACTCCCTAACTCTAACAACAATATAACAGTGCGTACCGTAGATTTATATACCTTAATCCTTAATCCTTATACCTTAATCATTATTTTCCTTAAATCCTTAATCTAACCATTAACGAGGCTATATACTTATCGAACAACACTGCACGCGTGTGTCTGCGCACACGCAGCGCGTGCCACGCACGGCACAGGGCGTTTCTTTCTTCTGTTATACAGGTAAAGTTCAATTACATTCTTTTTTAATTTTAAATTCTAAATGAAGGTTTTCGTTAGTGGAATTCTAGTGTGAGTTAAAACAAGATGGATATACTGTACCGGTGTTAATGTTATCCGCTTTCTCCACACGGCAGTTGAAATGTGTTGTCGCGGTTTCAGCTCCCAGCTTGCATTAGTCGATGTTAGCATCCTATGTGCGTGAATGTACCTCGACATTTTCTGGCCCCTCATATCACTGGCTCGTCATCTTATACGTGTGCAGCACAGTTGTGTTTGCTTTACTGTAGAGCCAATCGTTAGGTGTCGCAAGATGCAAACATATCCTATATAATTTAATATATTATGTGTGTGTGAATCTGAGTGCGTGGTTTACTGATCGTTCTGTAGCGAATTGGCTCTAGTATGTAATCGCCATCTGGGCCGTAACGATACGTTGTTATAGAAATCAGTATTGGAAAAATAAATTGATATATAATGTCTTAAACGCAATACTTTACGATGAGCTTCTTATACCGACGTATTTAATAATAAACACTGTTTCCCGGGTTAAATAGCATTCTAGTTATATACAATGCAATGTTAGCGTCTATTCTTCATGTTCCATAGTCTCTTCAAACGTTCACACCAGACGAGTTGGAATACCGGAATACTGCGATGGTAATGTGAAAATAGTTTGGGCGCATTCGTTTACAAAGGAATATAACGAGTTATTTTAAAAATACCCCTCTTTGGGCATATATGCTTTTCTTTGTCCATTGCTGTCTGATAATATCATAAATGATTACTACGATAAAATAACCATTTTAAATTTGTGAGATAACAAATAGATTTTTAATCACAAATTGTTAAAAATCACACATCTATTTAATTGAGTCATGTGTACGAGGATATTACGTCGCCGCCCACTTTTAAGGGAAGGCACCGATGATAAGGATAATAGAAAACTGGTAACTAATCCTAATGCATCATCCACGCCAACACGTCGGAATACTCGCTCTACTCGCTCATCCACTCATTGTCTTTGTTCGTAATCATGCAGCAGTAGGAATCGTTCTGCATGAAGCGAAGACGCGTTCTTACAGAGCGGCGCTCGCGTCGGGATACCGTCAGAAACTCGTACGGCGCTCGGATCCGTTCCGGCACCGGTTGTACGTCATACATAATATGATGTACGTCGCCATCGGCCGACACTGCTCGCGGTGTTGGCGTGGCGCGCGTCTTCTTACTGCTGTTTGTTTTTTCGCTCCGACGTAACAGACCATGGCAACGAGAGGAACACGATCAGCGTGTATAGGCGCGACGGTGCGGTCCTATATAGACAGCAAGCTGGTCACCATGCGAACGTCCGCGCGGAGCGTGACAACGGTCAGTACGTTCACGCACTCGCTCCTCCAGCAGCGTGTCGTCGTCGTCCAGGTCAGCGCCGTACTGCGTCATGGAAGGCGTGTATGCGTGAGCAGATAGCCGGTAGACCGGCCCAGTAGTCCGTGGCGAACGTGTTCGTTTCTTGCTTCCTCTAACGCGAGTCAAGCTCGACGCGCTATGCTCCCTGAAGTTAAGTAAGGCGGACAGTCTAGCTCGCCGGCTGCTGCGACGAAGTACTGCTGCCGAAGATGCCAGTCTCTATTGGCCGCGTCGCAATCGCTGTGGGGTGCTGGTATGTAAGTCCATAACCATCAGCGAGAGAATGTGTCTGACGCGGTCACTTTGCATCTAGATGTTGACCCGTCGCACAGTCTGCCCTGAACGTCTGGCTGGGACGTACGCGTTTTGCGCAGAGTGGAGGATCGGGTCGCCTGCAGCTGTACAGGTAGCTTCCTGCATGCTTATGGCACGGCAGAGAACTGAACACTCCACCGTCGCAGTTTGTGACGTAGGTAGCAAGGTGACGTTATGTGGCCAGTCGCAGGCGAGCGGGGTTACCTGGTTAAACGAAATTATACACCGGACATTATTTTCTACCACACGCCACGTATCGGCACAACAGGAATTCGGCGTTTACTTAAGTTTTATAGTAAGTTATAATCTGAAAGCAGAGAGAAACCGCCTAACCTATAAGGTGCGTGCGCCGTGTGTGGCATGCGCACGCGTGTTGTGATATGTGTGCGCGCCTAGTGCGATCGTCGTTGTGATGTGGGGGGGGTGTGCACGCGA